CTGGAAGCCGATCCACCCTTGCTGCTTGACGCAGTCGCTGCAGGGAAGAAACATTTGCATAGCTTATGTTTCAAGGGACCTGGCATATATGACATATGTTCGCTCCCCCTCTTAAGCGCTATGTGTTTTAACCAGGACCACCTCCCTGAGAAAGGTTGTTCCCCCAGGTTAGGGGTTAACAAGACTAAGGAAGAGAATAAATCAGTAAATCCCCCTAGTGTTACAGAAATACCATGTACTACTTATGAAGAACTTGGGCTAAGACTGTTGCCAATAAATTTGGGGCTTGTTGGGCCCACATCCCCAGGGGTCTGCCCACCAGGGAAAGCACCAAAGCCTATACCCCTGGAGACCCACTGACACAGGGCAGTCCCAGGGAAGGCAAGCAGCGAGGCTGGGAGGACATGACCTTTACTGGGTAAGATAAGCTCCTTCAGTCACTTCCTTGTAGCTTATCAGTAGAGCAATAGAATAGTGACCTTGGAATAGCCCTTATAATGGAACACAGAGATTAACCTAGACAAAATTAAAATCAACAGAACTAGATAGAGACAGGATTTTTGGCAAAGGTCAGATAAGAAACAAGGAACTGTAGAACGTTACCCAAAACATAGCATGATGTAATTATAGAGGCATGCTTATAGGATCAAGTAATATAAATATAGATGTAACAGGACAAAGAGAGAACCTGGCTATGATGACCACCTGAACGCTGCCTCTGTGTCATTCCTTCTTCGCCGACTCCGTCCACACCTTTGGGAACTCCTGGACCTGCTGGGGCTGGACCCCGGCACCCAACGATACCCCCTCTTCCCTCGCCCCTCCGCCCCCGGCCCGCCCCTTGTCCTCGGGGCTGCCCTTTATCAGCAACATCTCCTCTCGCTGGCAGTCTCTGCTGAGCTCCCCCATGTCTGCATGAGGAAGCAGAACCAGGGAGAGGCGAAGGCCACTTGGCCGGGAGCTGTGGAACCACACTCCAGTGCCTGGGGTTTGGAGGAAAACCTGCTTCCTGGGTTGGTCGAGTTCATCCATGCCCACGCCGCGTACCCACCCAGGGAACCCTCGCGGGATCTGGGCCGATCAACCTCACTGGGGGCGGAAGTTCTGCTCCTGCGCCTGCGCAGTGGCCCGGGGCCTGGACACCTCTGCAGTCCCGGCGCGGAGCCCCAGGCCAGTGTCTCCGCTCCCAGAGCTCGGTGTACGTTAGGTTTCACCAGCAGCCTCTCAGGAAACCACGCATCCGAATTCTAGGACCCAGTTAATAGGTAATAGGAAGCTCTTGGATGTTTGCCTTTAAGGAAGGTTGCTCTAGGCGTTTGCTGTGAGGATTGGGAAGGCCCTGACTGAGAGGTGGGCTCTGGTATATGATTGTGAGTGAGTGAGTGAGTGAGTGAATGAATGAATGAATGAATGAATGAATGAAAATCCGTGCGGAGCTGTACAGCGCAGGGCGATCATTGGGCTGACAGGCCAGGAGCATCCATCCTCCCAGCAAACCCGAGACTGCGCCTGCTGTGGGCCGGCCTCCTCCCACTGTGGATCCTTTAAACTCACAAGGGCCCGCGGGGAGCCCACTGCGCCTCCCTTTTGCGGAGGAGGAAACTGCCCCCAGAAATGCCCCGTGGCTGGCAGACAGCCGCCCGCTGCTCACCCTCAGGGGAAAGGGCCAGCACACCAGCCTGTGTCGGGAAGTGTCCCCGCCTGACCCGGAGGGAGGCAGAGGTTTCAGAGCACTGGCACTGAGCCAGCTCACCTGTTTTGTTTTGAGTCCATTCATTTATGGGCAACAACAAACCAGACTCTTGCCGGGTGCGAGGGGTGAAAGGAGAGTGAGACAAACAGCCCCACTCAGGGAGTTCCATTCCAGTAAGAGGGGGGAAATCAGTCTAATTGTGGCGAGGGCTTTGGGGGAACAGCACAGCAGGGCTGTTTGGCAACTGTGTTTCACCTAGGGGCTTCAATCCTTATTTGAACCAGGTTTTACAAGAATTATTCTAGGTTTCTGCAGCTCACTAACGGTTTAAAAGGGAAGCTGGCCTGAGGAAAAGCAAACATACAATTATCTCTCTCTCTTTTTTTTTTTTTAACCTCACCCAAGGATATTTTTTCTATTGATCTTTAGAGAGAGATTGGAAGGGAGTCGGGGTAGGGGAGAGAGAGAAAGAGAGAAGAAGGGGGAGGGGGAGAAGAAAGACATCGATGTGAGAGAGACACATCAACTGGTTGCCTACTGCACTCGTACCCCGATTGGACGGGAGATCAAACCTGCAACTGAGGTGCATGCCCTTGACCAGGAATCAAACCCAAGACCCTTCTGTCCTCGGGCCACTGATGCTCTAACCACTGAGAAAAACTGGCCAGGGCCACATATATCATTCTTAGCTTTTATTTTACACCTTCCAGTTCTCCAAGAATTGAGTGTATTTTCATTTAATATATTTTATCTCTGCTGTGTTGGTACAAAGCATCATAACATTCTAGTGGAATCATAAAATGTGAGAGCATGAGACTAGAGGTTGAGTCCTTTTTCATCAGATAAACCTTGACCTTTGCTTCTGTGAATCTCAATTTTTCCTCTCTATTTAATGTTATTGCAAGGTTATTATAAGCCAGGCATGAATTGAATAAGGGCTGAAACTAAGGCAATAGTTGTAGAAATATGTATGCTTTTTTAAGCTGCTAAATGTGTACTAATTTATTATTTTACCATAGATAATACAGATTTTAGTACCTGGAAATATGATCAGGCTATCCTAAATACCTGAGGAAGTGAGAACAGTTGTACAGCCAGTGAACATGCAGTGGTGGAAGAGTTTTGAAAAGCATGTAGGAGGAAGTTCAAAATGCCTTGAACAGACATGACTAGAAATCTGTACTTTAAGGACACTGCTGTTGAGGATTCGGAAGGAAGTGAAGAACATGTTATTGGAAACTGAGGAAGGAAAAATCCTCATTGTGTAATGACAGAAACTTAGCAAAATTGTCTCCTGCGGTTGTGTTGAAAAGAGAAGTTATAAGTAATGAACTTTGATATAGTATATCTAAGATTTCCAAGCAAAGTGTTGAGTGTGCCACCTGGTTTTGTGTGTGTGTGTTTTTTTCTTTTTGATAATAAAATGCAAGAGGGGAGAGAGAAATCAAGGGAAGAGTTCTTGAAATATTGAACAAAAAGGAACCAAGAACTACTGATTTGGGGGGGAAAAATCATTGTCTCCAGAAGGAAAATATGCTAAAATTCATTCCTAGGGCAACATGCTCTAGAGAAAAGGCTGAGATCATTACTAAACAGCATTTTGGTAAAACCCCAGAAAGAAAAATATCAGAGAACTCAGTCACACTAAGGGTCCTTTTAAGAATTTAGTGTGCCTGACAGACCCTTTCAATCAAGTCAGTGGGTCTCTAGGAGAGTTAAGAGCATTGTCACTAAGCTATTTCGACAAGAGCCAAAGATAGAAAAGGGATTATCCTGAAAAGATTTGTGGGTATATACTTTGTCTGCCCTGTGAAGTCCATGGAAGACCCAAAAGGTGCTTGGGAAAATAAAACGTTTCAGCAGAAACATTGCTAACTTGGTCCAAAGGTACAAGTAAAACTTACAAAATTGAATGAAGCTATTAGACCCACAAATTCTACTGGTTCGAAGCAGGCCAGTAACAGTTGCAAACCTGTTATCTTTCAAGAAAAAGAAAGAATGACTCAGAGGGCAGAGCTGAGACCCAGAGAGAATTGTTCTCAGGCCTTGAAACCTAACCAAAAGATACCTGCCCAGTGGAATTTACAGTTACCATGGACCAATTACTCCATTTTATCTTGTATTTCTTGCCCCTTTTGAACCAATGTCCATAGCAGTTATTCTGTATCTGCCCTGTCTCGTCATTGTTTATTGGGTGTGTTGGGGGCTGTCACTTGAGTTTCATGGGTCCAGAGAGGAGAGATGGGAAGGAAGGACTCAATTATGAGGAGTAACAGAAGGACTTATTACTAACTTTGGAGTGAAACCAGTTATGGCTGATAATCTGGGTTTGGGATCCAGGGAAGAGATCTGTTCATGCATCTTTTCTGGGAACTATGGTTCCCAACTTGAATTCAGCCAACACAAAAGAAAAACTTTCCCGGAATTGGGATTGAGTAGCATTATCATGATTTAAATGGATATGTATTGCTGTGTAACAAATTAACTCCGAACTCAGCACCTTAGAAGAACATTTATTATTAATTATTGCTTTGGGCGGGGGGGGGGGGGGGGGGGGGGAGCGGGTAAACAGGGGCTCTTGGGAGAAAGGGCCACTTGCTCTTCAACATCACAGGGTTCTTGGTGCACGCTGGACGCTTTGACGGCGCCCGCCCCCCTGCGGATGGGGGACACGGGATAGAGGAACGCGGATAGTGGAACGTGGATTGTGGATTTAGGATAGTGGACGCGCCGATGTCGCACCTTTGATTGAGGTACGCTGGATGAGAGATAGAGGAATGGTGGAATGCCGAACTCGTAATGAGGAATGTTGCAACGCGCGACAGTGGAACAGCGCACTGAAGATAATGTGGACCGCCTGAAATTGTGTTCCTCCCGATACAGGAATTTTTGAACTCGTAATAATAGAATATGGCACGCCGATACCAGG